TGACACGGATTCCCTGCTGATGGAGATTCGAACCGAGGACGTGTATGAGGACATGAAAAAACGCCTCGATTTGTACGACACCAGCGACTACCCCAAGGACCATGCCATACACAGCACGGTAAATAACAAGGTCCTAGGTAAGATGAATGACGAGTGTGTTGGCACGCCCATAGCCGAGTACATAGGCTTGAGGCCTAAGATGTACTCCATCCTGAAGGCCGACAATGGTGAGATCCAGAAGGCGAAGGGTGTTAAGAAGTACGTGGTGAAACAACACATCAAACACGCCAGATTCAAGGAAGCCCTGTCCAAGACCCGTACCTTTAGGCATAAAATGAACACGCTTAGAAGTGATGGGCATAGGATATACGGGCTGACTATAAACAAGACGTCCCTGTCGCCGATGGACACTAAGCGTTGGATAGCTATTGATGGGATAAACACGTACGCGTACGGGCATGAGAAAATTGAACCAAGAACATAGGTGTATATATAAATGTTGGGGCGACGTGTCACGGAACCAGAGAAAGTTTGAGGCTATTTACTACAGCCCGCGTGGGTACTGGAAAGGAGCTAGCGCCGTACATAAGCTGGCTAAAATGGCGCGAGTACCCCCGGAGGAGGCCAAAGCTTGGCTTGAAAAACAAGCCCTGTGGCAGATGTATTTACCGGCACCACGCTACGTGCCTAGAAGGAAGTTCGGTATTAACATACCCAATAGCGTTCACCAGGCCGACCTCCTATTCCTACACCACGATATGAGGTACAAGTATGCCTTTACCGTGGAGTGGACGTGGCCAGTCGCTACAAGGAAGCCCGAACCCTTAACCATTAAAGACTTCGGCCCAGGTAGCCCACGGATTCGAACGCATATACACGTGCAGTCCGCTGACGTGGCCCACAAAGCACAAGTTGACCCCGGGCGGGAGTTCATGGCTGTCGTGTCACACCTGCTAGACAAACACGATACCAAGGTCAGGCGTGGTGCTGCCGGGGCTCATCGCAGCCAAACCAGAGTTGAGAGATTCAATAGGACTTTGGCTGAGCGCTTATTCGGACATCAGTATGCGAGAGAGATGGCCAACCCATGGAAACGATTGACTGAATGGGTAGCGCGGCTACCTCAGGTGGTGTCGGCCATAAACCACGAAACCACCCGTCTCACTGGCAAGAAACCAGCCGGCGCTATCAAACTAAAATCAATAGTGGCAGAGTTGGCTGCACCATTGCGTGGGAAATAGAAACAGATACCAGATAGGGCCCTCGTGAGGTACCTATACCAGCCGGGGGAGCACGAGGGTGATAGTCGTAAGCGAGCCACCGATCCGATATGGTCTGTCAAAACTTACAATATAGATAAAGTGGACATCAAAGCCGATGAGCCGAACTTGTACTACTTGAGAGATGGGCCAGGGAGAGGACTCGTTAGAGAGGAATTATTGATCATACCGTACGGCACAATGTTACCTCGCGGCATAGAGCTATCACGTGATCAGGAAGTGGCAATTGGGGTCGGAAAGTTAACTGGGGATTCAAATGTACCACCGCTATGTGTACCACCGCTATGTGTACCACCGCTATGCGTACCACTGCTATTGTACCACCGCTATGTGTACCACCGCTATGTGTACCACTGCTATGTGCGTACCACTGCTATGTGTACCACTGCTATGTACCACTGCTATTGTACCACCACACTATGTACCACCGCTATGTGTACCACCGCTATGTGTACCACCGCTATGTGTACCACTGCTATGTGTACCACCGCTATTTGTACCACCGCCAATGTATCACCGCTATTGTACCACCGCTATGTGTACCACTGCTATTGTACCACCGCTATGTGTACCACCGCTATTGTACCACTGCTATGTGTACCACCGCTATGTGTACCACCGCTATGTGTACCACCGCTATACCACCGCTATGTGTACCACCGCTATGTGTACCACCGCTATGTGTACCACCGCTATTGTACCACCGCTATGTGTACCACCGCTATGTGTACCATTGTACTATATGTACCACCGCTATGTGTACCACCGCTATGTGTACCACCGCTATTGTACCACCGCTATGTGTACCACCGCTATGTGTACCACCGCCATGTGTACCACCGCTATGTGTACCACCGCGCCATGTGTACCACCGCTATGTGTACCACCGCTATGTGTACCACCGCTATGTGTACCACCGCTATGTGTACCACCGCTATGTGTACCACCGCTATGTGTACCACCGCTATTGTACCACCGCTATGTACCACTGCTCGCTATGTGTACCACCGCTATGTGTACCACCGCTATGTGTACCACCGCTATTGTACCACCGCTATGTGTACCACCGCTATGTGTACCACCGCTATGTACCACCGCTATGCGTACCACTGTTATTGTACCACCGCTATGTGTACCACCGCTATGTGTACCACCGCTATGTGTACCACCGCTATGTGTACCACTGCTATTGTACCACCGCTATGTGTACCACCGCTATGTGTACCACCGCTATGTGTACCACCGCTATGTGTACCACCGCTATGTGTACCACCGCTATGTGTACCACCGCCACCGCTATGTACCACCGCCAATGCTATGTGTACCACCGCTATGTGTACCACCGCTATGTGTACCACCGCTATTGTACCACTGCTATGTGTACCACCGCTATGTGTACCACACCTATGTGTACCACTGCTATGTGTACCACCGCTATGTACCACCGCTATGCACCACCGCTATGTGTACCAACTGCTATTGTACCACCGCTATGTGTACCACCGCTATGTGTACCACTGCTATGTGTACCACCGCTATGTGTACCACCGCTATTGTACCACCGCTATGTGTACCACCGCTATGTGTACCACCGCTATGTGTACCACCGCTATGTGTACCACTGCTATGTGTACCACCGCTATGTGTACCACCGCTATGTGTACCACCGCTATGTATGTGTACCACCGCTGTGTACCACTGCTATGTGTACCACCGCTATTGTACCACTGCTATGTGTACCACCGCTATGTGTACCACCGCTATGTGTACCACTGCTATTGTACCACTGCTATTGTACCACCGCTATGTGTACCACCGCTATATACCGCTATGTACCACCGCTATGTGTACCACCGCTATGTGTACCACCGCTATGTGTACCACCGCTATGTGTACCACCGCTATGTACCACCGCTATGTGTACCACCGCTATTGTACCACTGCTATGTGTACCACCGCTATGTGTACCACTGCTATGTGTACCACCGCTATGTGTACCACCGCTATTGTACCACCGCTATGTGTACCACCGCTATGTGTACCACCGCTATGTGTACCACCGCTATGTGTACCACCGCTATGTGTACCACTGCCACCGCTATTGTACCACCGCTATGTGTACCACCGCTATGTGTACCACCGCTATGTGTACCACCGCCACCGCTATGTGTACCACCGCTATGTGTACCACCGCTATGTGTACCACCGCTGTGTGTACCACCGCTATGTGTACCACCGCTATTGTGTACCACCGCTATTGTACCACCGCTATGTGTACCACCGCTATGTGTACCACACTGCTATTGTACCACTGCTATGTGTACCACCGCTATGTGTACCACCGCTATTGTACCACTGCTATGTGTACCACTGCTATGTGTACCACTGCTATGTGTACCACCGCTATGTGTACCACCGCTATGTGTACCACCGCTATGTGTACCACCGCTATGTGTACCACTGCTATGTGTACCACCGCTATGTGTACCACCGCTATGTGTACCACCGCTATGTTTACCACCGCTATTGTCCCACCACTTTGTGTACTATGTACACATCCATAAACGCAAAGTTAATTCTTAAAAAGAAATGTAAACAATAACCATTTCAAAGGTTATTTAAACCTAAAACACAAACACCTTTATCCGACACAAGGCCTTTCTTACCACGGACTGGACACGTGACAAACCGAGCAACTATAAAACAAACTACGAATGCTGTCCGATAATAGGTGTTGCCTACTGTTTTTAGGATCATAGAGTGAGTGAGTGAGTTTAGTTTTACGCCGCACTGTTTAGTTTTACGCCGGTCGGTTTGTTCTTTAACGTCTCACTCAGCAATATTCCAGCTATATGGTGACGGTTTGTGAATAATCGAGTCTGGACCATGCAGTGATCAACAGCATAAGCATCGACCTGCGCAACTGGGAACCGATGACATGTGTCAACCAAGTCAGTGAGCCTGACCACCCGATCCCGTTAGTCGCCTCTTACGACAAGCATGGGTTACTGAAGATCAATATTCTAACCCGGACCTTCACGGGTCTTAGGATCATGGAACCTTACTGCAAATTGTTAGCCAATCAAATGCCATTACCTGCGAGTGTATGTATTTTTGCTTACATTTTGTTTGTAATTACTGACTATACTGGCGTCATCTCGACATTCGACTGAGGACGAAAGTGGAACTACTCTCATCTATGTCTCCTCTATCCATACACGAATGATCTACTCCCGATAAACATAACTATTTCCAACAAAATACCAAAGATATATTGGCACACTACCCATGCATGTCAAGCAGCGAATCATCAACATGTTTTACTGACAAGGTTTAGTCACTGAATGGTTACGGTATTGCAGGAGACGATACATTCCGTATTGTCATTCTGGACTGTAGTTGTGTCATTATCGTGACTTTAATACGCTTCCGAGCATCACCGAAACACAAAACTTGAAGCCAAAAGATGACCTTGAATCTGCTGTTATAAACAATATCGTCATAAATGTCCAAATATCAAACAGTTCCACCTTGTGGCATGAATACTCATGTATCTTTTTGTGCTCGACTGTAAGCAAGCACACACAAGTAAGTAAGTAAATAGGTAGGCATAGTTAGTAAGTAAATAAATAAATAAATATAAACAAACAAACAGATAAACAATGCTTGGTGTTTATGTATAGCATCTACGTATAAAGAACACAGCAGTCTAGAACTTACGCATCTGACAGTACCTTCCAGACCAGTCTGTCTGACAAGCTGGAGGAGGCACTGAACACACGTCGGTGGGAGGACTGCATCCATTCTTGTAGTGACAACTTGATCCTGGTCCTCGGGTAACATATAAGTAACATATTGACAGAGCAGATTGTGAAGGGTAATACATAGTTCATAGGTCTGAATTCGAATAGTTTACTCTTTCTGTCAAGGTGATACGACATAAGGCAATCAGTTCATCTGTTCACACAGTTTATTTGGCCACCGCTTCACAGGTTGTCGGGGACCCGTTTATTTTGGCCACCGCTACCCGTGTAGGTTGTCGGGGAAGTGTCGGGGACCCGTAGGTTGTCGTGTAGGTTGTCGGGGACCCGTAGGTTGTCGGGGACGCGTGTAGGTTGTCGGGGACCCGTGTAGGTTATCGGGGAAGGTACACGTGTAGGTTGTCCCCGTGTAAGTTGTCGGGGACCCATGTAGGTTGTCGGGGACCTATTGTAACCCGGAATACCAACATAAAACAGGGAACTAAATAACACAGCAGTACCTTGTGCAGCTGTACCCGACACGGCCTGGATGATCACCAGTAGATAGACAGCAGACCTCATCTTACACAGGTCAGGTACTGAAACAAACTTGATTTGTAGTAATGAAATGAAAATTTCAAAAGTAATCACAGGATACAATAGAGTAGAAAGTGAAACATCATATACGTCACATCGACCCCCTGTAAGATGCCTTGATGCACAATACGAACAAAATATGCCACAAAGAAGGTTCAGTTAAAATTCATTCACTGTGACTATAACGAGCGTAAAAAGCTGATATCAAAATGTAAATAGAATTACTTTGCCAATTTTGAACAATTAAGCTTCTAACGCGTGCACCAATTGACATTGATTGATACGGAAAGCAATGTATATTGCGTGATCTTACACAAGTCATATCTTATTTGGATCCACTATCAGAAAACAATGGTTTCTTCATAGCAAACACCATGGAAACCTAACGGCACTGTTAACAGTTCTGCCTAGCGTGCGACGTATACGACCCAATTTGGACTATTCTTTCACAATGAACCGTAGGGAGGTAGCTTAATGGTTACAGCGTCCGCTCGTCACGCTGAAGACCCGGGTTCGATTCCAAAGATGGGTACAATGTGTGACGCCCATTTCTGGTGTTCCCCGCCGTCATATTGCTTGGATATTGCTAAAAGCGGCGTAAAATACTATTCACTCACTCACTTACTCACGTAAACCGTACACCTTGTGATATAGCTGACGCAATGTTCAAATCACGCAAAAGCAAACACATATTTAAATTTTCCAATAATTTAAAAATAGCTTATTAGGGTACTATAGTCCGTTTGGCTCAAAAGCGGACCGATGAATTGCAATCTAACTATTTGTTACGAGGGAGGAGTGCAGAGAAAGGGACAGCCAGGTGTTCGAGAACGGATGGAGACGGCACAGGTTAATGAATAAATAACTTTGTCTGTGAACGTGCTTCTCGAACACCTGGCTGTCCCTTTCTCTGCACTCCTCTCGTAACAAATAGTGAACTGTGTCAATATTTTATTGATAGTTTGTTATAAACAACCTTTTTATTTTTCAAGGACAAAAATTCTGCAAAAACTCACAGAGTTAGTATGATGTTTTGATTATGCTTTCATTGAGTATTTTATGTTTATTAGTTTCAGTTGATTATTCATCGGTATGTTTAATTAGCTGGTATTTGGAATGGTGTATGTGGAGGAATGGACCAAACAATGGAAGCTGAAGATTCTTTTCTTGTGTTTGTTCTGGTGAATATTTAACTTGCATTTGCATGTGTTTGTGGCTATGTGTATACCTGGTATATCACTGTTATGTACCACATGCTATATTTTGGATTATACTTTCTCAGTAAAGTACAGATTTTCGTACTTTTGTTGGGTTGAGTCCCATCCGCGATTCAGACCCATGCTCCCAGGCACCTAATTGCCATCACTCCAAACAGCCATCTAACCCACTTCCACCTTGGCTGAGTGGGTTAGATGTCCAAAAGAGCGTGTTACCTTGCAGATCTACGAGATGTGAGTATTTCTCGGTTGTGACTCAAGTAGTAAGCTCTAAAGCAGTGTCAATGCTGAACGGAGGCTACTATCTATGTGGTGGAATACGATGAAACCTATAAAACCTTGTGTGTGTGTGTGTGTGTGTGTCTCTCTGTGTGTGTGTCTCTGTGTCTGTCTCTCTCTCTCTCTTCTCTCTCAAATCCCTAAATTTGTAATCCATTTTCAACGTTGTGCCTGGCAGGTGATCCCTACATTGATGTAATCATGTGACATGTATCTAAACATGACCTCCGCTATCTTAGGAGTGTGTTTGTTATTGTGTCATGTACACAGTGTAATTTCATCAACATGCAATATCGGTATGCAAACTCTTCCGTCAGACACCGGCATGTACATAATATTGTGAAGGGAATGGCATATATCTTATTGTTATGTCAGACATTACCTTATCAGCCTAAGTGAAACAGAATTTTAAATATGATGTTGGGACAAATGGACTATATCTCTGTTATATCACGGCGTGATACCTCAGTGTCAGCGTGACCTGAACCAGGTCTGAGACCACCTTGTTACACTGAAATTCTGGACTGAGAAATACTTGCAAGGAAGAGACTTTGTATTCTACGCCCTTCGTCTGAATCACAGTCCAGTGTGTGTTTTAAATAAGGAAGTGGGGTGGTTTCTTATCAGGAGATAGGGTCAATGTAATCGGGACATCACTGATACAACGTGAAGGGAACTCTGCACAGTTTAGTCCGTCCATCACAGATATTGTGTCTTACATTGCTGCCCATGGTGACTCGACAATATACTAACTGTTCACCTGTCTTTGAATCTGGGGTTATGTTCTGCTATTATTCACATTTAATACGTAAGTAATGAGTGATAAACAAAATAAATTACAATCTTAAATTCTGAATAATTATATCTTATTGTTATGTCAGACATTACCTTATCAGCCTAAGTGAAACAGAATGACAAATATGATGGTGAAGTTTACACAATGGACTATATCTCTGTTATATCACGGCGTGATACCTCAATGTCAGCGTGACCTGAACAAGGTCTGAGACCACCTTTGTTACACCTGAGATTGGTGCTGAGAAATACTTGCAAGGAAGAGACTTACCTGTTCTACAGCCTTCGTCTGAATCACACCAGGCCAGTGTGTTTTAAATAAGGAAGTAAATTAGTTTCTTATCAGGAGATAGGGTCAATGTAATCGGGACATCACTGATACAACGTGAAGCCACTCTGCAATGTTGAGTCTGTCGTCTATCAAGTGACGACGATGTGTTTTCCTCTTCACCCAAAACTTTCAAAATGATGCATTACACCTAAAACAGTAGTTTAAAAAATGTGGTCAAATGTAACGTATGTTATATTTGGGATTACACTTTCTTAGAAAAAGTACAGATTCTAGTACTTTTGTTGTGTTGCGTCCCATGCGAGATTCGAAGCCATACCGTCAGAGTTAGGCATCTAATCGCAATCACATAACGTCAGACGCCTAACCCGCTTAGGGAGTGTTCGAATGCCGGATGGAATTCAACCCAACAAATGTACTAGAATCTGTACTTTACTAAGAAAGTGTAATCCCAAATATAACATATCTTAAATTGTACAAATATCAACGTTGCCGTTGTGCCTGGGACTTCTCTTAAATACAGTGAGGTTCTTTCACATTACACACGTTTTGGGGGTAGTTTGGAGGTAAAGCGAGTTTGGAGGTATAACAGTGATATACCAGGTATACACATAGCCACAAACACATGCAAATGCAAGTTAAAACACACGAAAAAAGAATCCTTCACCTTTCATTGTTTAGGTCCATTCCTCCACATACACCATTCCAAATACCAGTTGATTATCATTTAGTTACAACTATCTGGTCAGTGGCTATACATATTAATATGTATAGGGAATTTATAAGAAAGGGAATTTATTCGATATAATCACTGAAACATTCGCACCTATCATTTTCGTTCCGTAAGATAACAAAAGGTCACGATTGAGAAAGACGCTACATCCCTTCACATGTATTATCCACGACTGCCAGTCGGTTTCTATGTGAGTCAGCACCCTGGCCTCTCGTGGGTTTCAAAAAGGTGTAAACGTCTGAGGTTTGCATCACTTCGGGGCTTCCACTCTCACCACGCTCCATGCCCTAATATCAATGATCCTCAGTCATTAGCTTTGATAATATCAACAATGTATATGTAATAAAGTAGTAGTGTTTGTGTGGTTATTGGAAACGCCGCATTTGGCGTGGGTAATATGAAGAGAACATATACAATTCCTTTCTCTTCTCTGCCTGTTGCAAGAGTTAGTTGGCAAGTTCCACCTATATCAGAAACTGAATCTATCATGGGTCATCCAGTTGAATGAAATGCATAACACAAGCCATGACACCAGTTCGAGGTAATGTGTATGTAATGAAGACATAGAGTGTCTTCTGATATGAAATATATCACCACGAGTTGATAAAGTTACAAATATCTGTGGCTTGTCGAGGATATTTTTACTTTTATCAACGAGTTTTGATATATTTGATATCAGAAGACATGAGGGTGAGATTCTAGTTATCATAAAAGATCCTTCTTCATTAGTTGTCAATGAAAAATGTACATCTATGTAGACTGTACTACCATTAGACTAGCATTGTGACGTCATGAAGTTCATGACCTCATATCATTGTCGGGGCAATGTACAAATCTACTGTCAAAACAATATCTCCTAGGAGATATCGCTTGGTCTCACACAAGCAATATCTCTCATGGAACACAGCTTTGGATGATAAAAATTAAGCTGCTTATTGTAAACGTTTATTTACTAAAAAAATGAGTCAGTGTGACACTGAAGGTCATGATCAAGTAACACAAACCAGGTTAGAAATTCACAAAACTTCGGATTGAAAGTGTAAGCATTATCCACTTACCGATGATAGGTATCAAATGTCAAGGTCGCCTTGAGGACCATTCATTCATAAAATATTTGTAAATACAGCGATACAGTGTTGTGTCGAACTTTGATGTGTTGAACTAAGGGTTGCACTGTTGTGTCGAACTTAGGGTTACATTGTGCTGTCGAACTTTGATGTGTCGAACTTAGGGTTACATTATTGTGTCGAACTAAGAATTATATTGAATTTGTCTCGAACGTTGATGTGTCGAACTTAGGGTTACACTGTTGTGTCGAACTAAGGGTTACACGGTTGTGTCGCACTTAGGGTTACATTGTTCTGTCGAACTTTGATGCGTCGAACTTAGGGTTATACCGTTGTGTTGAACTTTGATGTGTCGAAATTAAGGTTAAATTGTGTCGAACTTTGATGTGTCGAAATTAGGGTTACATTGTTGAGTGGAACTTATGGTTACATTGTTGTGTCGAACTTTGATGTGTCGACCTTGGGGTTACATTGTTGTGTCGAACGTTGATGTGTCGAACTTAGGGTTACACTGTTGTGTCGAATTTAGGGTTACACTGTTGTGTCGAACTTGGGTTACATTGTTGTGTCGAACTTAGGGTTACATTGTTATGTTGAATTTTGATGTGTCTAATTTAGGGTTACATTGTTGTAACGAACTTTGATGTCTCGAACTTAGGTTACATTTTTGTGTCGAACTTTGATGTGTCGAACTTAGGGGTTATATTGTTGTGTCTAACTTTGATGTGTCGGACATAGGTTGCATTGTTGTGTCAAACTTAGGGTTATGTTGTGTCGACCTTAGGTTTAGACTGTTGTGTCGAACTTAGGGTTACATTGTTATGTTGAACTTTGATGTGTCGAACTTAGGGTTACATTGTTGTGTCGAACTTTGATGCATCGAACTTAGGGTTACATTGTTGTATCGAACTTTCATGTGTCGAACATATGATTGCATTGTTGTGTCGAACTTTGATGCATCGAACTTACATTGTTGTGTCATTATTATGACATGTATTTATATGACACGAGATGCGTAGTGAAGTTATTACCCAGTGTGTTATGATATGCATTTATATGATACGAGATGCGTAGTGGAGTAACTACCTAGTGAGTTATGACATGTATACTGAGTCAAAAAAGAAAAGAAACTTCACATTCTTTCTTCAGGGCACTATAAAAGAACAAGAGATGGTAAGATGGTTAAATTGGTATTATTTCATTGCTGAGATCCGTGTGATGTACTCGATACACTGACAGTGCCATAATCAGTTCCATTAGGCTACACCGCCGTTCCAAAACATTGGTATACAGAATGTCAAGGCACAAGAATAAAAATGCGAAATTTCTCAGTTCAATATCGTGTATGGCCGCCCCGCGCATTCACCACTGCCAAACACCGTCTCCTCATCGACTGCCTGATGCTTGTGAACACGTGGTTGGGGATTCTGCGCCATTGCTCTTGCAAGGCAGCGCCAAGTTCCTGCAAATTCTGAGGTTGGTTCCTAAGACCACGAAGCCTTCTCCCAAGTGCATCCCAAACGTGCTCTATTGGATTAAGGTCAGGGGACCTCGCCAGTCCATGACGTTGATTCCAGCGTTTTGAAGGAAATTTCGTGTCAACATCGCGGTATGCGGCCGAGCATTATCATGCTGGAACTGTAGACCTAGCCATGAGCCGCCATGAAAGGAACGAGTTCAGGGGTGAGCACCTGGTCGCGGTAAGCAGCAGCTGTGAGGTTTCCACGGATGACCAGAAGTCGGGAACGGTTGTTCCCACAGAAAGCATCCCACACCATGCAACTTCCGCCCCCGAATCTGTCGACTTCCTGTACACAACATTGGGCATACCGTTCACGACGTCGTCTCCAGACTCTATGCCTGCCGTCCGCGAATCTGAGGGTAAATCTGGATTCATCGCTAAAGACGACTCGATTCCAGTCTCTCTGGGTCCATCGGAGGTGACGTTGGGACCACAGCAGACGTTGACGTTGATGAAACGGTGTCAATATTGGCCCACGATATGGACGTCGAGAATGGAGATTGGCAGCCCGCAACCGATTTCGAATGGTCTGTAAGGACAGTCGATCTCTAAACATCTCAGCCCTGGTTCGTGTAGCCTTCAGAAATCTGTCACGTAGGTGACGTAGGACGATTTGACGGTCTTCTGCTCGTGACGCCACACGTGGACGACCCCGACCTTGGGCGATCAGAAGTGGTGCCAGTTTGTTGTAGACGACCTTGCAAGTCATATACAGTACGACGGCTGCATCCCATTGCTCTTGCGACGTCAATAACTGATCTTCCCGCTTGCAACATGCCAACGGCACGTTCACGTTGCACATTTGACAATCGTGGCATTTCAAGTACCGTTAGAACTGTGGTTTAAAAGTGTTTTTTTCAGTATATTTATATGATACGAGATGCGTAGTGGGGTAATTACCCAATGTGTTATGGTATGTATTTATATGATACGAGATACGTAGTGGAGTAATTACCTAGTGTGTTATGGTATGTATTTATATGATACGAGAAGTGTAGTGGAGTAATTACCTAGTGAGTGTATGATATGTATTTATATGACACGAGAAGTGTAGTGGAGTAATTACCTAGTGTGTTATGATATGTATTTATATGATACGAGAAGTGTAGTGGAGTAATTACCTAGTGAGTTATGATATGTATTTATATGACACGAGAAGTGTAGTGGAGTAATTACCTAGTGAGTTATGATATGTATTTATATGATACGAGAAGTGTAGTGAAATAATTACCAAGTGAGTGTATGATATGTATTTATATGATACGAGATGCGTAGTGGAGTAATTACCCAGTGTGTTATGATATGTTCTTATATAATACGAGATACGTAGTGAAGTAATTACCTTTTGTGTTATGGTATGCATTTATATGATACGAGAAGTGTAGTGGAGTAATTACCTAGTGAGTTATGATATGTATTTATATGATACGAGAAGTTTTGTGAAATAATTACCAAGTGAGGGAAGTGAGGGTATGATATCTATTTATATGATACGAGATGCGTAGTGGAGTAATTACCTAGTGAGTTATGATATGTATTTATATGATACGAGAAGTGTAGTGAAATAATTACCAAGTGAGTGTATGATATGTATTTATATGATACGAGATGCGTAGTGGAGTAATCACCTAGTGTGTTATGGTATGTATTTATATGATACGAGATGCGTAGTGGAGTAATTACCCAGTGTGTTATGATATGTATTTATATGATACGAGATACGAAGTGAAGTAATTACCTTTTGTGTTATGGTATGTATTTATATGACACGAGAAGTGTAGTGGAGTAATTACCTAGTGTGTTATGATATGTATTTATATGATACGAGAAGTGTAGTGAAATAATTACCAAGTGAGTGTATGATATGTATTTATATGATACGAGGGTCGTTGTGAAGTAATTACCCAATGAGTTATGATGTGCATTTATATTACTCGCCCGTGGCAGATACTGCAGTGTAATATTTTTTACGGCAATATTACACTAGTGTAATACCGCTAGACGTATGACGTCATAATGGTTAACAGTTATGACGTCACAATGCTAATACCTCTGTGACAATGGTATTGGACCTTGCTTGACTCGCGAAAAGCTGAAAGCTATCACATTGTAGGCAGTTTCTATCTATTTATGTTGGAGAGTAATAAAGAGAATACTAAACTCACTTCTCGTGAAATTCCGTTTTTATAAAACTCGTGAAAGTTTAGTATCAAACGAGCGATCGAACTCGTTTTATAAAATGGTATTACACAGAAGGTCGTTTAGATCCTCTGTCACGACATGAGAGGCGTTGTGAAGTAATTATCCGGTGCGTTATGATATGTATTTATATGACACGACATACAGAGTTGAGTAAGTACCCAGTGAGTTATGATATGTAAAGATATGAGGCAATATGCGTAGTGGAGTATTCACCATAGCAATGCCCAAATACAATAGTCATAGCAAGTATTACATTAATGATAAATGTACTTGCTGATATAGTGATAAAATATGGAACAAACAGTAAAATGACTGAATTGCAAATGTAAAATTAGTTGACAAATAGAATATAAAATTTCCTATTGTTTTCATTCAGCAAATATAAAACGTCAGCATAAGAAAACAACCATCCACTACTATCAGACGAAACGGGTATAAAAGGCAAATTCAAGGTAAAAATTATATGAATAGATAACAGAATATATGTTGTGAAACCAGGGCCTGCCCTTCCACTAGTAGCTGCCGCTGACTTAATTTACATAAGCAGCTGTACACTTGTTGCCTGGTAAATGGCGTTTGAAATCAGCTATGGTCTTGTGTTGCCTTTAATTGCACATGTCAACATTCCATGTTATACATAATCAAACTGAGGTTTGTAATTAAGGTTCACCTAAATGGGATGCGCCGTATATGATTGTCTTTCACAGAAGCAGTCGTAAACACACTTCCCATCACTTACACTGTGAAAACACACTGAACATGTGATTCCTCCAGAGTCACAAGAAAACTGCCTTTACCAACGTTGATCATGTATTAGGTTTTCATGCATGAAGATGGCATGGAATGTATTCCAATGATATGTCGCTAACTGTTGAAGACAAACTGGTCTCTCTGAACCGTGTGGCAGATCTTAGCATCCTATAATGAGGTCGCACCATGCGTGTTGATGTTTTCATAATCACTGTCCCCTGATTGTACGTCATTGTTGTATGTATGTGTTCCGGCAATGACGTCATAGATAGGTGATTCCGCTGGAGTTTCTAGTGATATATACTGTTTCTCCAGTTCAGCTTTGATTAGGGCTTGTCCTCGTTTGAGCCTGAAAGACATGGCAAGAAACGGTTAGTTACATTGCTTTCTTTGTTATAAGGTCAAAGAATAAAATATCAGTAATATGAAGGTCTTTAAACCTAATTAAGTTCCTAATTATTGTACCCCTTTAATATTGGTGATTTTAAACTGTATGGTAATTAACGTTGAACCTACAGAAAAGCCTTTGCTCTACCTACGCCACATGAAGTGTATGCAACCCGTGAAGATCAGAGTTAGAATTGATCTTCAGTAACCCATGCTTGTCATAAGAGGCCACTAACAGGATCGGGTGGTCAGGTTCGCTGACTTGGTTGACACGTGTCATCGTATCTCAATTGCGTAGACCGATGTACATGCTATTGATCACTAGATTGTCTGGTCCAGACTCGATTATTTACATACCGCCGCCATAGAGCTGGAATATTACTGAGTGCGGCGCCAAACTTAAAAAGAAGAATGCATACTTACATACAGCGAGTACAGCTACACTTAGTGCAATGATTGCTGTGACTATTCTATGAGGGCATTGACAGGATGATTATTCCAATATTCACCGGATAATTACTCCATGGTAATCATGTGATGTTGTTGCAGTGCATTATGTTAGAAATTGTCCCAAACGCATGTACTTGAATCAAACTCTTGGAATACTGTATCAGTATTAATTTTACATTTATATTTTTTGTTTTATATCTGTCTTTACAAAATCACAAAATAGTTGATACTACCTGACAACAAGCGTTGTTGTAACAGCTGAATACACAAAAAGCAACGCCATCACGCAACACGCGGCTATGAGACGAATGTCTGAAAAAGTAAGGGGAATCTTTTGACAAATTCTGATACATGTTCTACAGCTGTAGAGGTTGATAGGTTTAGGTAGATTACATGTAAATGTAATGTGTTTGAATATTGTTTGAAAATCGCTTACATTGTCCGCGATTTAACGACAATAATGACAATCAAGCACGTGTCGCAGTTAGTCTTACCTGTTGTATTGCCAATATCACCAGTATTTAGTTGCCTGTTGTGATTCATATGAATACCCTAACAATAGGTACACTTTGATAATGTTCCACCTCCTTAGGAATAATTTTGTAATAAGAGTGCTGAATTATGAAATTGACACGTGTTTTTTTTCACAATAAAGCGGATTAACAATCAACTGCCGACAATCATCTATATGCACGGTCGTTCGAGAAGGATATTATCGTAAAGCTAAAGCTAATTCAAAACAATACTATTTCCTTTTGTTCCTGATGAAGTATAAAAAGTTCCTTCTACCTGTGCCGGGGCGGTGGGGTAGTCTAGTGGTTAAAGCATTGGCTCGTCACGCCGAAGACCCGGGTTCGAATCCCCACATGGGTACAATGAGTGAAGCCCATTTCTGGTGTCCCCCCGCCGTGATATTGCTGGAATATTGCTAAAAGCGGCGTAAAACCAAACTCGGTCAGTCAGTCTACCTGTGCCACTTTTGTTATATTCTGCCGAAGTCAATGTGCGGGAATATCATTTTCTGTCGAATCTTTATGCTTTGTAATATGTAGAACTTATTCTTCCGGTAAACATGAAGGTGTATATGTAACGGTATGAGAAATTGTACGTCACTATCAAAATTTAAATCGAGCATAAAAACATCCTATATATCATCTCCACTGTACTTGTCTCACTGTATTAGAAAATTTAACATACTCAATACGAAAATACGTCATAGAGCTAGTTGATTAAGTTACGATCTGTACAGAGAAGGGCTAACCACTGATCCATCCTGCGCATGTGGTAATCCATGCGAAAATGCTCATCCTTATTTCTTAATGTTAATTAAGCAATCAACATAGAAAAACCATGTTTAAACTGACTGACTGACTGAGTTTGGTTTTACGCCGCTTTTAGCAATATTCCAGCAACATCACGGCGGGGGACACCAGAAATGGGCTTCACACATTGTGCCCATGTGGGGATTCGAACCCGGGTCTTCGGCGTGACGAGCCAACGCTTTAACCATTAGGCTACCCCACCGCCCCCCATGTTTAAAGCTATTCAAGATGTATATGCTTGCAATTCTTTTAAACGGCGATGCAGGTCTGACCAATCATAACAATGAGTGAGTGAGTGAACTTGGATTTACGCCGCTTTTTACCAATATCCCAGCAATATCACGGCGGGGGACACCAGAAATGGGCTTAACACATTGTACCCATCATAAAAATGAAATAAAATTAAAAAAATGTACATCGGTATATAAACAAATCTAAACGATTCCAGTAGTCTTCTTTCTATACACCTTTTGTATTATACTATTGTTCCTAAACTGTCAATTTTCCTCTGTCCCTTTATCCTATAATTGCTTGTGCAGAAATGTGTTTTCATAAATATCTTTGAAGAGGGGTTCTATAGTTCTAGGAACTTGTCCCTGGTCCTTTAACTTTGAGAATAAAATATGTTTAAACTAAACAGTATCTTACAACAAACAATACATTACATTAGATGGAACGGAAATGCAGAGCACACATATTCTTAAAAGTCATATGTTTGTCCTAAATACCAGTATTATTTCAAACTGTTTATCTTTATATTCCTTTAAATTGATCTTTCACTTATAAAAGCACGAACAAATGTGTGTCTTGGATGAGGGTGATAATGCTATAAAATGCATTCTCAAGTGTAGTCTTTCGAGATATGCTGATATATTCTCAGTGATGTGTTAGGACATTCATATCACCAATAAATGAGTCGATTTTTATTTTAAGTCACTTTTTAACATCATTAGAATCACAGATGACAAATGACAGATATTCACTGATTCGGTTGTCATTGCTGTCTGCGGTCTTAGATCCAATATGAGGTGGCACTGGGACGTCATTCTTGATCAGGCTTGCATGCACCAGAAGAGAGATACCAAGCACTTCTTTGTATTTTTCTACAAATATTGGGGTACGTATTACCGTCATGGTACGTACCTTGAGAGTGCTCTGTTCCTGTTGCTAAAGTTGTAGTTGGTGGTGGTGTCGTCTGGTACCCAGTTCCACATTCCCCTGTGACTTTGTCACACACCTCACACTGGTTCAAACAGTTCAGACCGTACGTGTAGTCTCCACATTCTGGAATCAAATATGAGCGAAATACTTCCTAATGTTCTACCGTTACACTGGATTGTGCCGAACTGTGATTATATGTAGTCGAGTGCATACTTTTAATATCCAAATTAAAATATTCTAAAAAAATTCAGAAACGATTGGGTAAAGATACATCATTATTTTGTTAGCAATGTTTATTATACATTTTTAAGAGTTTAGGTAAATATGATACGATCACTCATCTAACCATCAACACACAGTGGGGAGACGTATCCTGGCAAGCATCCCCTTTCACAGTGTCCAGTTGACCGGTCGCACCCAGGTCCATCCTTGCAGTGACCACAGGTGGCTGAACAGTTTACACTGTACTTTCCCTGGACACATGCTGTTATAATAGTACGGAAAGATATTTAGTAAACGCTTTTTTGTCAGAGGAAGACTATATTGAAGCAGGGACATATTGTTACATTAACATCTGTAAATATGTACATTTAACAATCGGGAACATTAATAAATGAAATATATGCTCAAAAATAGTAGTTATTATTCTACATGGACTACTTTGGTACAATGACTACCAAACCGTGAATATGTAAAAAATATGAACTATCAGATAATTTGTAGTGGATTAATATTCGACTATTGATAACTGCAAAATGCATGTAAAAGCATCTTCACAAACACGTGTTCTATAAAAGCAGCCGAAAATATTTCATAACAGTAGCCATCAATTTATTACTGCCTACTGAAGTGTATTTCAGTCAATACATCGAAAATCAGACCCAAAACGAACATAAAAATTGTGGAAATAGACTGTTGTTTAACATGGTGTCAGTGTGCAAAACGTCATACAAGAGTTAAGTTATTCCCCAACTCAATAGCCACATGAATGAATGACACCCAGCATCTGAATGATGTTATCAATATATACCACTGTCCTGGTTGATTGCATGTGGTTTGATTTGTTCAGAGCGGATTATTTTGAGCTGACTTGCTCAGTTGATTACACGTTACTGATGGAAAGTATTGAGTGCTCGAACAAATACTGTATAGCATTGCCGAATGTTCATGTTATTTTGATTATTTGTTATTAGTTAGTCTCGATTCTTCGATAATATTTCCATAATGTCTATTATTGTATATAAATATATTTCAGAAACTTTAAATATTTATCGATGCTTCGATTATTTACCCGCTGTATCAATTATGTGTCTTAATTTTGAGATTTAAAAAAACAAAACAAAAACAAACTTGAATCATCGAAATATTACACAAACACATATTCGAAGACAGAAGAAAACAGAAATCTCTAAAAATAAATATTTGAAATAACAATATAAATAACGATATGGAAAAGATTAGTTCACAGCACCATAAAATGAAATATTGAATCAATCATCAATGTCCCTTATACACAAAGGGAGACAAAGAACCTGTTGACATCCTGTTGTGTGAGTATATATATATATATATATATATATATATATATATATATTTGTATTACACAAACATGTATAGCCAATGTATTTAAATGTATTAAACCAGACGAGTCATTCATACTGCAAAAACAGAAGAAAAATCTTTTGGGTGAAATATTCAAATATTATTCTCACCTTTACACAAAGGGGGGTTGAAGTCATGTTGACATCCCTGTGTGCAGGTTCCATCGACCTTCTGACAGTCAGATGATCCACTACACTGACCACACATGTAGGAACAGTTCACCCCGTACTGACCATCGTCACAATCTGTACAGAATGAAAGATAGTAGCCATATAGCAGCAGTGGAAAGGAAAAATGCCTGAACACGACCACTTAATTTTGAACATTTACTTTTACAGAAGTACTCCAAACGATATGTCAAGTAAGCATAACAGGATCAGTTGAAACCTGTTCTTTACCTTTACAATTTATATTGAAGGGAAATATTCACATGACATTACATATTTACATTTAGTTTTACCTTGCTGATTATTTAATGCCCATTTACACCTTTTAAAGTGCGTTTCTGTCGGTGTTGTACATTTGTACACACCTGTTATTATATACCTAAAATGCACACCAAATTCATAAATCGGGTAATAATGTTGTATAATATAATATCTAATGTACACATCGGTGCATCATAGCGAAATAATGCATCGTGCCCTATTGATGTTGCGAATTGCGAAGTCTCTACGCAGAGGCTATAACTTGGCAGTAGATGGAACATGTATGTAATGACAAAGGGACAATACATACTGGATACATTTTTCAATACCTTGCTGACACCCTTTTCCTTGTTTTCCAGCAGCACATCCACTCCTACAGTTGCCAGTTTCCTTGTCACATACTTCAGATGGATCTAGACACTGACACCGCTTGTTACAACCAATGGCAAATCTACCATCACTGCAAACTGAAAGGGCGTCAGTTTGTTTTTGTTTATAATAAAAAAACTAACTATTGATATTTCTATATGTCGTTTTATCAAACCCATCACTAGTTATCACTGCCTACCATGCTCAAGTTTGTACGAAAGTGGTGTGTTTGCACAAAATTCCTAACACGATATGAATGTAAATAATCATCGTCTGAATCCATTTCCAATCATTCAACTTGTTTTACAAATATCTCCATAAAATGAAATATCCCCTCCTTTTCTTAAAATAGTATAAATTCAAACTAGACGATGCATTATTTTTTATGTATTTCACAGACAGATACAGTATATCTCAAAATTACATATATATCTATGGTCCAGATTGATAAGGTTGTTACAAAATAATGTTCCATATCCATCCGCATCGGAGGAAGTATATCACTATATAAAGGTTATTGTTTGCTGTTGTCGAAACGTGTGTTAATGACATGCGTTTAATGAGAATGTTGCAGATAATATGGAATACAGTTTTCAATACCTTGCTGACACCCAAATCCGTGTTTCCCAGCAGCACACCCACTCGTACAGTTGCCCGTCTCCTTGTCACATACTTCCGATGGATCTAGACACTGACACCGCTTGTTACATCCAGACCCAAACCAACCATCACTGCAAACTGAAAGGGCATCAATCTATTTTGTTTATGGTCAATAAATACCTTTCATGCTATTAGTCAATACTAACTATTGATATCAATACATGTGGTACGCTCAAACCATCCATTAGTTATCACTGCCCACAATACGTTTCCATATGGAATCATACATCTAGGTTCCCAAATAATATCACCCCAAAATGGAATATCAAGTCCGTTTTAGAAATATTGTATATGCAATTTGGACGATACATTATTATTTTTTATTTCACAGACTTGGGTACATTGTATCCAAATGTGACATAAATGTCTATCGTACACATCGGTGCAGTTGTTGCAACACGATGTTTCGTGTCTATCCGTGGCGAAGTATACATGTTGCCAAAGGCTATTGTTGGTTGTAGTTGAAACTTGCGTTAATGATAATGCATTTTATGACAAAGGGATAACAAAATATTGGATACAGTTTTGAATACCTTGCTGACACCCAAATCCGTGTTTCCCAGCAGCACACCCACTCGTACAGTTGCCAGTCTCCTTGTCACATACTTCATATGGATCTAGACACTGACACTGCTTGTTACAGTCAGAGGCAAACCAACCATCACTGCAAACTGACAGGGCATCAGTCTAGGTATTTTAGTATCAATAAAGACAAACTATTTCTATATGTCGTACTATAGAACCCACCACTGGTTGTCATTGCCTACCATCTTCAAGTGCACAAATCATCATGAAAAACGCTTGCACGAACCGGACTGCAAGCAATTCATCACTCGTCATGAATATAAAGAATCATTTATGTATGTTAAATTCATATACAATCGTACAACTTGATTCTCAAATATAACCCGAAAAATGGAATATACCCTCCTTTTTAAAAATGGTATGCATACAATCTGGCCCATGCATAATTTTTATGCATTTCACAGACTTGGTTACACTATATCCCAAAGTAACATAACTGTCTATCGACCACATCGGTACAGTTATGTTCCAGGTCCATCCGGATACGTGCCGGAAGAAGTATATCATTACATAAAGGTTATTGCTGTTTTTTGTTGAAAATTGTGTTAATGACATGCGTTTAATGAGAATGTCACAAATGATATGGAATACCGCTTCAATACCTTGCTGACACCCTGGTCCATGTTTCCCAGCAGCACATCCACTCTTACAGTATCCAGTATCCTTGTCACATACTTCAGATGGATCTAGACAGTGACACTGCTTCTCACATTTATTCCCAAACCAACCATCTCTGCAAGCTGCAAGATCATCAGTCTATTTTGTTCATGATCATAAAATATATTCCACTGATAAAGCCAATGAATATATATAATTATATATAATAATATATAATTGAATTTTCTGTCCCTTTTGACAGCAATGTGATTGGCAAGATTCAGGAAAAGCATGATAAATATGCGGACCTCGCCTTTGAAATGTCTCGCTTGCATCCCAAGTACACTGTCGTCAGGCTCCCCATTGTTCTCGGTGCCCTTGGTTTGGTACCTTCTGATCTCTTGGCGCAGATCAGGAGAGTGCCCGGGTTCTCAACCGGGAGCACAGCCCTTCTGACACTCTGGGTAATGCAGAAGGGTACAGTGTTGGGGAGTCTGCATATTCTCTGGAATGTTCTTGGTGGGTTCGACTAGGCAACGTTTCCTGGGAGAAGTCCCATTCGCTGTCTGGGCTGCGTGTAGAGGGGCAAGGGCCCTGAGCTGATGATGAGCCTTACCAGCCTGACTGTGCCAGGATCACCCAAACCATCTCTGCTGCATACTATCTTTAATCTGTTAAATATAATAATAATAATTTCATAGGCTTGTGGTACATTGTATCCAAAAGCGACTTAAATGCCTCTCCTATTTCAAATACCTTGCTGACACCCGGGTCCTTGTTTCCCAGCAGCACATCCACTCCTACAGTAGCCCGTCTCCTTGTCACATACTTCAGATGGATCTAGACACTGGCACTGCTTGTTACAGTCAGAGCCAAACCAACCATCACTGCAAACTACAAGGACATCAGTCTATTTCTGTTTATGATCAATAAACACTTAGCACAGCCAAGACTGACTAATGATATCATGTGCTATGATCAAACCTTCTTCTATATAGCACTGGCTTGGTGAACGTAGACGCCAAATATAGACGTCTTAACAGCTTGTGGATTGAACACAAAGTCTGGATTTTTGAGAATATTAAATGCTAAGAATCTGTCAATCTTGAGTTTGCTTTACAAATTAGTCATAGAAGGGAATGTCTCACCCTTCCAAACTTGAAATTTGGAAACTTTAAATTAATATTATATTATTTTAATAACAGTTTGACGGAGACGAGCTAGTACCTTTATCATTAGCAGAGGTTGCCATAGAAAACCAAAGACAAATTGTCCCTCATAACGTTCTGATAGTGTGGTATTACCTACCCCATTGTATCCCTTGTATCCCAACACAATATCCAGAATATAGAACGCATTGCCTCTTTAGTTATTTTCAAAACCATGATATATTCAGAATTTGGAAAATCAGTAACTAGTCAAGCTTAAAATATGGGGATTATGACGTTTAGGCAGTGGATTTAGGTCAACTTTAAAAATAAGTCTTCACTAAGTGATCACAAGTTTGGAAACAGTTCTAGACTAATGCCAACCGTCTTCTAGGAACAAACGTATTGTCGAGCTCGATGAGCTCAAACTTACCAAAAACTTGAACCTCGCACAATGTCAGATATGGCCCACTCATCTTGATGGTAACCTTGTTCCCTTTAGTGACATGTCTACATGTGACGTCAAAAGGGTTTGTGACAGGTCCGCGTGTCCCATCAAGTGTTGTTCCACTGGCGGTGTTACACAGATAGCCACTCACAAACACCTGCATGTTCTTGTTGTGTATCAGAACTTGAACACATAAAGATGAAATGAAACAAAAAATGAAATCTGAGTGAATGTCAATGTTTACTCTTATAACACAAACATCAGACGATCATAAAAGGTAATGTCCTAATATTATGCTGAACTACTTTAGATCATTGACCATTGCATAATAATGCAAAACGAATGTTGAACCTAAACTATGCTTGTAGGAATGACCACCATGTGCTGAAAATCACATTTACATCTGTACATGCATAAAACGTGGCGGTTTCACAAGGCAGTGACAGATCTTTCATCTGTATCAAAACCACACCGAAATTTTGAACAGCACTAAATTGTTGACTTTACATAATGCCACGTTTATCAGCTGTTAGATAGAGAGGGAGAAAGAGCTGTTTCCTTTCTTGAGACTTGTTTGTCGACAGGTCATATGGGCAGAAGGTTTCATCGTCACAAGTAAAAAATCGTCACCACAATCGTATATCTCGTCACTTACAACAAACTGGCACAACACGTGATCCACCACACGTTCCCCACCTGGCGGCACATCAACGTCTATGCATTTTGCAACAAGACAATATTGCAAGACACAACATGAACTTTCTTCTGTAAAACAACATCCCTGTCCTGCGTGGCCATACCCGTTACTTACATTGACTGTGTGAGCGAGTGTCATCGTTAATTTATGGTTGCACTAAATGATGAATGACTGTTTTTGCTTTTTCTGGTGTTACCATTGTTTGACTGACAATTTCAATGTCAGCAGTTCTTTTCTTCATTTGTAGTGAAGATTAAACGTTTTATCTCGGTGATGCGTTTCTTTAGTAGTTCTTGTGTATCAACCAGTGATGCGGCGTCTACTACGAGGTATTGGCATGCTAGAAAATGGCCTGAGATTGCTAAGAAATTGAATGTGTAAGGGTCAGTCACTAGCAAACTATGGAACATGTACCAATAAACCCATCCTTTTCAGGGCGTCAGTGGCAAGTGTGGTTAAAGATGCAGGCACTCTTACATTGACCTCAAATACTTCCATCAGCCATCTGAAGTTGCAGGTCTAGTTTAGTTGTTGCCACTATGAAGCTTTTCTTCATATTCTACACAAACAGACGTCAATGGTTAACAGAACGTGGAAACTGGGCAGTTATTGCTGTTCACATGTCAGCTGAGTCCGCATGCCTTTTCACTTTCTTGATATATGTGGCCGTATATTGTGGGGTCCAGCCAATCTACACATGACTGTCTTACACTCCCAATTTTCCCTAATTCTACAGCTGTAAATTCAGCAGATATAACAATGAAACCATATTTGTTATCGCACAGCAGGCGGAATAAAGTGATTGGCACCAGCTCAGAAATTCAAATAATGTCGCCTGTACCCCTGATGGAACTGTCAACCATCTGCACATGACGCCATGCTTGACACTCAGGCCAATGTCCGAAGGCCTTGTTTTCGAATTTACAAGTAAGACAAGCCAATAACTGTATGATCAGTAACAATATATGTATTGTTCTGCAGACTTTAACGAACTATATGCTTTTCTATATTTCAGTTCAAAAGTCGTGCCAGTATTTATAATACCCCGTAATTATGTGAACATTTTTTTATAAATAAGAGTGAAAGTGTTTAAAGATCATTCAGATTTGACTTCGTCTTGTGTTGTATAATATACTTTGTAGCTAACATTTATCATATAAAGACGAACTTTACATGTGTATGTATAACAAGACGGGTTAATGTATGTGACTTACAGTCCTGTCTCAGGTAGATCCTGATCCTGCTGATGTTGAACACCCGATGATCGCCAAGGAGCACCTGCCAGCTGGCAGACCCACCAACTGGTTCATCTGTGTGTGAACAACTCGAGTGACTGAAATCTGTGTCAGTGTTCCCATCTACTGCATAGGAAGCATGAAAATGTCCGAGGTAGTTATACGTAGTACTCTGTGTCGCTGTCTTGTGAAACGCAATGTTTTCTGTAATCAGATAGAGGAATATATTTTTCTCACGCCCTTTTTGCGATTGCGCCTCTACGGAAGCGTAGTAGGGCCACGATGAAAAATCTGTTTGGTCTTACTATCTCCTACGTAGGACTTAGTATCTCCTACGTAGGACTTAATATCTCCTACGTAGGACTTAGTATCTCCTACGTAGGACTTAGTATCTCCTACGTAGGAGTTAGTATGTCCTACGTAGGAGATACTAAGTCCTACGTAGGAGATACTAAGTCCTACTTAGGAGATAGTGAACCCCCCAATATCTTTCACCGTGGCCCTACTACGCTTCCGTACGACTCAGTTATTTCACTTTTGCATTTTTAAGGTTTTGTTTATGGACCAAATATATTGCCTTGGCGAAAACATTCCTCTGTATAGGGGCTATGACGTTTTGAGTGTCAGCATATGAATATATGTAATGTAGTGTTGCCATAGTTTCCCATACAATTTCTACAAGTGCTGGTTCATTATTCTCCTGGTTATAACTCTATACGGTTAGAATGAATAATGATGGTATAAATGGAAATAATAATGTTAGCATAAATAGAATGATAATGGAAGTATTAACAGAATAAAATTAATGCTGGTAGTATAAAGGGAATTAATACTGATTGCATAAATAGAATGAGTAATGATAGTATAAGCAACATGAATAATGATGGTATAAAGAGAATGAATAATGATAATATAGACATAATTACTAATGATAGTATAAATGGAATAACTAATGCTAGTATGAATAGAATGAATTATGATGGTATAAAGAGAATGAATAATGATAGCATAATAGAATGGATAATGAGAGCATAAATAGAATGAACAACGATGGTATAAAAATAAGAATGAATGAGGATAGTATAAATAAGACGAATAATGATACTATAATTAGAATGAATAATGAAAGTACAAATAGAATGAATAATGAAAGTATAAAAATATGCACGAGGATAGTATAAATAAAACGAATAATAATACTATAATAAGAATGAATAATGATAGTATAAATAGAATGAATAACTATGGTATAAAAGATATGCATGATGATAGTATAAATAAAACGAATAATAATACTATAATAAGAATGAATAATGATAGTACAAATAGAATGAATAACTATGGTATAAAAATATGCACGAGGATAGTATAAATAAAACGAATCATAATACTATAATAAGAATGAATAATGATAATATAAATAGGATGAATAATAATAGTAACATAGATATAATGAAAAATTATGGCATAAGTAAATGGTAGGGTCACGTGAATTACACATATCATGGGTAGATTCCAACAGTGAGAAGACCTGCAGGAGCCAGCACAGATGTTTCCCTACTACAGTAAATGTTTAGCAGGGGCATATATGCATAACAGCAGAGTTTACATATCAAACCCATACAAGTGTACTGTTCATGCAACCTCCACTGACTGAAGCATACATTTTACATGTACGTGCACGTGTTGTCTGCAGCAAAATTAGTATGAAGATTACCACACCCATGCCCTGTATTTGATCAATGCCTCCTTATCCTTGAGGTTCTTGAGAGGCATATAGAAGTTGGTATTCAAGAAAAAGACAAAATATGATTGATCTCAACTTCTTCTTTATTCTTTACACAACGTTTCGTCACCTGACGAAGGAGCAAGAAACACCCAGACACGTTATGTATAGAATAAAGAAGAAGTTGACATGCATAATATTTTGTCTTATAGTCCTTATCCGTATTTGCCTTACCCATCTGGCAAAAGCTTCCGAACCATGGTGTTTTACAAACTGGACCCAATGAACGTGTTGGACATGCAGTGTTGGGGAAATCCGAGCAGCCATTGGAGCAGTGACACGATTCTGCAACACAGAAAGTTCTCTTAAACGCTTGAGAATAGTGCCTAAATAACTGAATTATATCTACTTCAGGAATGACACACAATATTAAGAGTCCACTTTCAGGCAAATTTTGTGAATGACGGGTGCTCTTGGTAGGGCAGGACATGCTTACCCTTGTCGCGAACACCTGGTGTCATGGCTGGTTTTCAGGGATCCATTCATATTTGCATGTAGCTATTTTCAATCAGGGACTTCGGAACACAAATGGTATGTCCAAGATATTTTTTTATGGATTTAAACTTCTTTTTTATTTCCCCAACAACGTTTAGTGACGACGTCACAGTCTCAACTGTCAGTTCACCTGATGAAGGGATCTGTAATGCTCCCGAAACGTTGTGAGGGAAAGAAAAAGAAGTTTAAACCCATAACAAATATCTGGGACATCTATATACAACTTCTAAATGCCGCTAAAAGACAACAAATGGTATGGTTTCTCGGCATACTAATCTGTGTGATCTGTTGATGGACGAATGTCGGTAAAGTGTCTATGTATTTCCCCTGACTCACAGAGCTGAAACTTAGCTTAACCGTAGTCGTAAAGTTCAGGAGCTTTAAGCTCAACTTGTCAAGAAGGGGTTTGGCGTTTAAGTGCTGATTAGTGTGGCACAAGGTATTAGTGTGATCATGGGTTGGCGAGTGGTGATGGGTTGGGATGGAAAGGGGTTAGGATGGTGGTGAGAGATTTGAGAGGAGAAGCTCTTATTTAGTAAGAGGTTGGACTTGTCATGGGTTTGGATGGTGAGTTGTTAGACTGGTGAGCTTACGGTTGTTGGACTTTTGCGTGGTAGAGGGATTGCAGGTAGTGGTGACATTATTCCTTTATTCAATCCTATTTCGCCTTATACCGAATCATTTTCCACTCGTCAGTTACAGTTTTTAAATGCTTCGATTCCTAATTTTCCATGTAACCTTAGCTGTCTATCCATGCTCACTCCGAGAACGTTACCTGTACCGAGAGAATGAATGAGAAAATTCTCGTCAGTAACCCATGCTTGTCAGATGTGAAGTGGCGAGTAACCTTGGATTGGCGGGTGGATGGGTGACCTGTGAGGGAGAAATCGGCAGACGCACACACACGTGCCCTGTGATTATTAATCTGGGGCAGGTTGTAAAGTAAATGTAAAACTTCAGTAAAGATCACACGAAGGGAGGGCGTTGCCCACTGTTCTATAGTTTTAGGAATATGGCCGCAAAATGTCAGTGAATCAAATTTCATGGATCCACCTCCGGTTTCGGTTTTTGCTTAAGCTTGCTCTCTACGTAGTTGCCAGTATCTGTGCACGAATGAAGCTTCATTACCCATCCGTAAACGGACCACGCGTTTAATAGCAAGAGACCTTTACTAAACAGCGTATACTGACACCAAGGACGGGCCTACATGTAGAATCAGCTGATCACTCAAAGGGGGTCGTCTTCAGCTATATAAAACTGTACTTCCGATGGACGCTACTATTTTGCACAAAACACCAAAGATAAATACACACTACCCATGATTCTTAATGTTCAGTGAAACGTTTTGTTTGACAACGTTCAGCCGTTAGTGTTTAGAATAATACACTCTCACGTTTGGTTATAGTAGCCCATGCGTCTTAGCATTGCAATTTCCAGCTTGACTAATGGGAAGATGATGCCACAATCTGGTCTCTCAATTTACTCAGTCACCTCTTACAAACAGCACGTGTACAGGTTGCTATTAACCCGGAATACCAACATAGTGAGAAACAGGACACTAAATAAATATTAAATAGAAGCGACAAAACCCTTTCCACATTCATAAGAAATCGCTGCTAAAAGCAGTACCTTGTGAAGCTGTAACTGACATGGTCTGGATGATCACGAGTAGGGAGATGACAGAACTCATCTTTCACGGGTCAGGTACTGAAAAATACCGAATTATCCAAATGAAAACAGAAGTAAGGTATTTGAAACGATATTGCGACGAAAGCATTAAAGAACAACAGTATAGGTTACAAAACAATTCCCATAAGATACCTTTCTGGTACTATAAATACAAAACTAGCCACAAAATGATTCCGTTAAAACCTTATTCATCTGTGACTTCAACAATCGTGCAAAAGCTACATTAGGATATCAGAATGTAAACACAATCACTTGTGTTAAATTTGAACAATTATAAATCAAAACACACATATCAATCGACCAATGCTTGACAGGAGGAGAGCAATATAAACAAAGACTGTTTGATCTTACAGAAACTATATCTCCTTGTGGGTCTACCGGTCGATAACAGAGGTGAGCACACATCATAAATATTCCACACCTAACACCATGGTTAACAGATTGAGGTCAGTATGCAACATGTACAGTCTACTTTGAATTATTCTATCACATAAAGCTTTAACACTATTATGTAGCTCACATACTGTTCAATGCAGAAAACAGAAATATTATTAGAAATCGTTTTTGTTTTGCTTTTAATTTTTCCCCATTTTTTTCTAATTGCGAAACACAATATACAAGAAACGCTTTGACAATGACCAGTACATATCTACGTGACTATTTTCAGGGTTCTCTACGGAAACATATACACATGCCGGGGCTTAGGAGAGCTGGTAAGGCTAGGTCATTAAAAATTCAAGTCACTGGATAAAAAACAGTTAAATGTTTATACGTATTTATCATATTGCAGTACAGACCATTTCTGTGTATATGAAAGACTCATGAAAAATATTTTTTCTTTTCGACAATAATATCGTATTCGTTCAATGAGAAGATTTAATTGTAAAGACCTTTCTCTACACTTACTAATATAAATATATTCTTTCAGTATCAGAAAGAGATTATTGATAAGAATATTCTTATCGTGGTCTCGAAGAATACTCGCCCTGTTAGAGATATTAATATTTTCATTTGTAATAGAATTGTACCAATTATTGAAGCAGGGCCCTTATTCTCGAAACGTTCGTAGCCCTAAGAATTCTTAACTTTGCTGGAAGCCACTTGTGTTAAGAATGGGCTTAAGAAGTTCGTAAGGCTACGAACGTTTCGAGAATAGCTAGCCAGGTCAAGATTACACTCACTTTATCACACACAAACACAAAAGATGTTCTATTGTTTTACGTTTTAACAAATCGTTGTAAACATATATCCGGGTATTAAATTTCCCAGAGCTCTGTATTATTTGTCACCAAATATATCGTGCCAGTCACATGCCATTTGTGTCGTTGGCAGCACACAGAAAAATGCCTTGTTTTAGTATAAACCCATTCGTCTCCCGAGTCGTTTAGTGCAGTGCAGTGCAGTGCAATAGGAATATCATACCATGGATAAGTTTCATTTTTCTTATCCATATGTTCAATTCCCTGTGTTTTCTATGCATGTTTTGTTTTCCACCGCATCATTATAGCCTAAGTTATGCGTGCAAACAAATCTATCGTACATCTGTAGCAATCAGATGACAAATTTGTGTCTTAAAGTCTATCTTTGACACTGACCAAAATGATTGTGATAAATCAAGAGGTGAAACGTGAAGCTTCCAGGCTGTGTATGGTTATGCTCTTTCAACGGAATAGATAGTCTGGCTTGAGAGCTATTTCTGCGGTACAACTGGTTGTACTACATGACCCGTTTTCGGATCAAAGTTTAGATGGACCCGATCCAAGTTTGTGATCTTTGTATTCTGTTTGTGAACACACATGCCATTCCCAATTCACGTCGGTAACATCTGTTTTCAGAAATGTGAGTGAGTTTGGTTTTACGCCGCTTTCAGCAATATTCCAGCAAATATCACGCCGGGGGACACCAGAAATGGGCTTCACACATTGTACCCATGTGGGGACGCGAACCCGGGTCTTCGGCTTGACGAGTGAACGCTTTAACCACTAGGCTACTCCATCGCCCCGTTTTCACAAAAGCATTGAATCAACTCTTGCTCAAAAATCGTTTGAGCATGGCTGTATCATTGAAGATATCAGTATTTTTTTATGGTAGACCGATACAGGACATTTCAAAATATACTATAAAAAAAAGAAACGCATAGGCGTTTTTTATGTTAAACAATCTATTAATTACCTATTGTGTTCAAACAATCGTCAAAATGTGTAACAAAAGTGTTGATAACATGATTTTCCACAATTGCACAAGTAACAAAAATCGACTTTACCTGAAAATGTTGGTTTTGATGTGATTTCTTACAAGGATTAAAAACGCATCGCCGCAACGCAAGAAAGATCACCTTCTAGTTGAAACTGAGCAGCAAAATTTTACTATAAAAATCCAGATTAGTTTCAAGGCCAAATCACTACGCCACGTCTTGACGCTGCGACACGGAACATCACCATTGAAAGAATGCACGCTGGAGATTACCAATTTTCTGTTGCTAGGGGTCTGAAAGTTAGTCTGAGAACGATATCACGGCTTGCAGCTCGTTACAACCAAACAGGTATAACAAATGACCGTCCCCGTACAGGTAGACCTCGAGTCAGCACTGCAGCCCAAGATCGGTACATCCGGGTACTACATTTGCGTGATCGTACTGCCACGGGTGAGAGCACAGCAGGTTAGCCTAGCTGTTAAAGCCTTCGCTCGTTCCTGTTGTTCTCCGCCGAGATATTGATGGAATATTGCTACAAGCGTGCAATGTCAGAACTTAGATGTGATTGTACAAGAGATCAATTGAAAATGTTTCCAAATTGAAGACTTAGCTTTGGAATTCGAGAAAAGCGTCTGTAGCGGCGTCTGCCATTTTGGTTTGTTTATCCCTACAATGAGTGCCAGAACCAATTCTATTTTGCTTTATTTATATGTCACGCAAATGCAATTATACGACCAAGAATCATTCTCAATACTATTTATGTATAATAATATACAGGAAATACAAATGTAATTAGTATGTTTTACTACATTTTTAAATTACCGATCATGGTCACGGAAATTGCCGATCATATCGGGTGAACCGTTTCGCGAAAAGTGTACCGCAATATATCGTATTCTGAAGTTCGAATTGCAATATGCCGGTTAACCGGTACTATCGCCCATCCCCTATGTATAAGCTGAGTGTGAAAACGATCCAATGTATAAAATAGTTTAGATAAAGCAGTGAAAGTCGGCAAAATAAAGTGTACATAGTGAAATAAAAAACAGCTAATCGGACGGTTTTCGAAATCTGGGCACTGCATGCGTCATATTATGACGCCATACGATTGTTAGCGATATTGCTTCTTGGCGGAGAGTTTGACGGTTACCGTGGCAGCGGGCAATATTTTTGCCATTTGTCACCCTCCAGGCAGGATTTACACAGAAACTTGTTAACGCGTCATTGACCAATGAAATTAAAGTATTTTACATGAAGGTAAGATAATGATTTGTAAACCTAGCTGATTGTATTGTTAAAATTTATTTGACCCAAAGCTGCATTTAACGACTACATGACTGTATGCAATGTCTGTTTGAACAACTACGTTCATGCGTCTCTAGGATCGTGATCTACCTTAAGTTGCTGGTGATCTATAGCCCGTTTCTATATTGTATTGTCTTGCATTATAGTATACGTTTTAGTTTCATGCTATATCTGTGATACACTAGTAGTTTTACTGTTCATCGTAAACAGTTTGGTAGATCCTAATATTATTGATATTTATGATAATTAATTGTTCTCGTCACGATATGGCTGAAATATTGCCGATCTGACGATAAATATCAACTAACTCACTCACTCACTCACTCTGTTCATGCAAGTGTGACCTTACATATCTACGTCGCTAGTGATCTTGAACTGCGTCTTTCTCGGTTGTGACCGGGGGTGGCTTAGAAACCTTATCAGCTAGGGTGTGTAATACATTCCACTTTATTGAACGGGGGGCATTTTTCATTTGATGATATAAGGAGATACGATTATGGAACATGCGCTTGGTTGTGTGTGTGTGTGCGTGCGTGTGTGTGCGTGTGTGTATGTCTGTGTATGGCTAAAACAAATACGATTCTGGACTTGCAGGGAGTTACCTTCTCGAAATCCCTAATATGTTTCACTGGCTGGTTAAACCGAGCCAGGATCACAGAGAGTCTTTGGACTGTATTTTGCAGCTTGGCCCCTGAGAGTTTCTTGGCTTCAGTCCTGCCCCACTCATATGACACAAGTGATCTCATCTTAGGCAAGTGAGTTTGTTCAACATTGCCTCTGTTCACCCAGCAGTAAATGGGTACCCGGTGGGATAAGATGGTCAGCTTGGATTAACCAGGTAAAGATGTCTGCACGTAGCCCATCATTTGTACTTAGCACCACTGAGCATCTTTGAGGGGTTCCACAAATGTATAATATATAATACTTCTCACGGACCTTTAGTTTTAGCTCAGCAGAGTTGACAGATAAAAGGACATTGTATCAGAATAATAGTTTCGTGCTCTACGTTTTGCCGTGTTTTGGAATCGTAAAACGTTCGCTAGTCTATTCGAAACTCACACCACTGCCAAAAACTAATTTGCATATCACGTGACAGGACCTCACTCTTGTCTGTAAACAAACGCGCTTATTCTGTAACCAGAGCACTTCATATTATTGACCGGGTGTAAAAACCTTGAGGCCAACATTCCTTGCAGGCTGTTTCAGTGTTATCACAACCCCTAGTGTGCAGTACATAACCGTGTGCACTTAAAAGAACCCACTCATCCGAAGGTAGGTGACCAGATGGTGGACACACGAACACGTGCAAACACCCAGTTGCGTGTATAGTATGGTAACGTGCAGTATCACTGGACAAAATACTGTGACTATGTGTCCCAGTTCACCCAGCTGCAAATGGGTACCTCGTGAGGATGAGGCTGTGTGATAACTCGCTGCGCCTAACCAGCTGCATGAGTTGAATACTCCCCAGGGAGTTGAGTTGGTTAAAAAGAATGCCAGAAAAAAGATATCCGTTGATCAAGGGAACACTCAAGCGCCTTGAGCATGTACTAGTTGTGTGGATATGTGCGCCAAATAAATATCCTATCAAATCAAATCATGTCATCGACAGCCATAAGAGAACCAGGTCTGAGATCCCCTTTGTTAAACCTGAGTTGGTGTTGAGGAATACTAGCAAGGAAGGTAATTACCTGTTTTCCAGACACTGTCTGTCACACCAGGCCAGCTTATGTTGAACAAGCAAGTGAATTAGTCTGTCATGGCGACGCGGAGGGTGTAGAGCAAATCGCCCATAACATGTGTACATTTCTACCACCCGCACGGTAGGAAAGTGACCTCTTTAATCATGAGATATAAAATACATACTCACATACCTCTTGCGTGAAGCGATGTCGCCTGTCTATCAAATACCCCAACTGATTATGTGTATTCCTGTACACCAATGGCATACAAACTTGTAGCTTTACAACAACTAAATGTGAAGAAATAATAATGCCAGTGCTTGATCACAGTATGAAATAACTTAAGTAGAATCCGTGAATAAACAGCATGTTTATATTTACTGGCGGAAACAATCTGGGGCAAATGCAAGGCAAGGCACTTCCGAGCCACAGCTGATAACGATATGTGCATGCTTGCTTCTTTTCGGTACTAGAGTGGGTTTTTTGCATCAAATGCGGCTTAGAGGCTTATTTGTGGGCACATTCATTCATTCAATTGTCTCGACGCATCGAGTGGAGTTTCCTTTATTGGGGGTCTCGGAAACTCCCAACGCGTCGAGGTCAACTGTTGGTACCCATAGCTATAAGTGTGGATGCCATCGTCCGCAATCCATCGTTGGGTATCCAGGGGCGACAGCGACGTCTTGTTGAGAGTGATACCGTAGGTGTTGTGTTTGTCACTTCTCAACGCGTTCATGGGGTGTTTGAACGTGTGTTTATCGAAGAGAGCCTGTTGAAGAGGGTGTGTTTGATGTGGTATTTCACAACGTATTTCTTGACCCCTTTCGCCTTTCGGATTTCGTCGTGATCGGCTTTTTGAATTGAATACATTTTAGGTCTTAACCCGACGTATTCTGCGATAGGTGTCCCCGCGCATTCGTCCTTCATCTTGCCGAGGATCTTTTTATTGGTCGCGCTGTGTAGGGCGTGGTCTTGGGGGGTAATCGCTGGTGTCGTACAGGTGCATGTGTTTCGCCATGTCCTCGTACACGTCCTCGGTATGAATTTCCCTGAGCAGTGAATCCGTGTCCGTGTACAGCACTTCACATCGATCGCCATATTGATTTTTTAACTCGTTGTAGTAGAAATCGTACATGAGATGTTTGGAGAGGTCGAGAATGCTCATCCCCATGTAGACGGGTCGGTTGAGCTTGATGTGGCTTTTGTTCATATGCAGCGTCGCCAAATCATTATCAAATAGCTTGCTTCGATTGAAGGCCGGGCTGGCTATGAGTTTCCTGAGTGAAATCGCACGACTTTGACCATCACCCGTTTTCTCAAGTTTTCCATGGTTTTGCCGAACACCGAATTGTTCATCAGTTTGTAGAGGTTTTTCTCGAAGTCGCTGGTGGCCTTTTTTCGCAGCTTGGTGTTCAGCCGAATCTAAGGTTCCATCTAGGGACTTTGATCGAATTGCAGCACCCGATGTATTTTAGTCAGCTTCATGCCCAGCGACAAGTACAGTTGCAGATTCCAATGATGCACCACGTACTTGGTCTTGTGCATCAAGTTCGGAACGAGTTTTTCCACGTTGGCCAGCTTATTTTTCCCGAGCAACGTTAGTTGATAGTCCGACATCAAGTCTCTGTTCACCATCAACCGTTCGGGAGCCAGCGGATAGCTGTTGTGAGCAGCATGGAGTTCCACGGGATAGTCCAAGTCCACTTCGAGGATGTAGCCCTTGTTCGAATCTGGCCCGATGCTCATGATATCGATCTCATCGTCCAACCACTCAATCCCCCGGTGGGTAGAGACTGGCTCATGGCCCAGCTGTACAGGTTGTTGGCATCGATATACTGGAGATGATTGGCGGGCTTGTTCGAGTCGTAGCCTTTGACGTATTTGTTGTTGGCTTTCGCGTAGCGTTTGGAGACCATGGAAATCCCACCATGCATGCCTTTCTCGACGAACAGGTGCATGTCGTAATCCATGAGCAATTCCAGTTTAACTCTGTTTTTCTCCAAGAGCGCATCGCACGAGAGACCGGGGCTGGTGTAGTACCAGGCAGGGTCGAGTTGATACTGTTTCAAACATGTCGTTCTGAAGGTCTCGAACAGGACGTCCGTTTACAAGTAGAGGTCATGGTAGTCGCCCAAATGTCGACAGCCCAGTTTCTCCCACACATTCTGGGCGTGGTCGTAATCGTCCTGCGATATAGGGGACTCGGTCAAATGGCTGTAAAAGCGGTCGATGGGGGGTAGTTGTTCCTTATTTCAACCAAGATCAGGGTGTCCTACGAGGCAGTGTCATGTCTGATAGTGATACACGTATCAGAATAGAAAATTAACAGTCTCTCTAACGTTTTGAACACTTGTGTTGATGGGTCCCTTTTCGTGATTGGTCCGATTTCAATATTTCATGCCGTAAGAATATGCACGCAATAGAAAAGCAGCTGCAACTCTGTCCTAACAAATTTAAAAAATGGGTCAGTGAAAATGGCTTTAAGTTTTCAAAATCCAAAACAAATTGTATTCACCTTTATCGCAAATACAACCACACAGTGATCAAGGTAGTAACAGTGTAACAGGTCTTCAAGTGGAATAAAAATAAAAAATATCAAGGTAGTAGAAGAGGCCAAATTCCTGGGACTCATACTTGACTGTCACTTGACATTCTTACCACACATAAAATCCTTGAAAACAAAATGCTTGAAGGCTCTTGACGTGCTGAAAGTCGTTTTAAATACTGAGTTGGGAGAAGACTACCCTCCTTCACTTGAACAGATCATTAACTCGCTCTTAACTACATGATGGTTCCATTGTCTATGGTGGAACCTACAAAAGCAATTTACAAAAAATAGATTATATCCACCGCCAAGGTCATAGCCTCTCTCTCGGAGGTTTTAGCACTTCTGTGATAAGCAGTCCATATGCGGAGGCTACCGCACCTCCTCTTGAACAAGTTACTTACTTGTGCATGTCGTGACAAAAGCAATGAATATTTAAATAATGTTGGGACAGACTAAATTGATCAACCAAATTGAAAAAGGTATGTGAAAGCCATGGTAATGAGTGCAGGTTCAATGTGTATCAATATGCCAAGCCATGTCCAGGAGCTCCATCTGAAAGGAAATATTTTTCTCCTTTTGTCCATTGTTAGCAGACACACCAGAAATATTCATTCATTGTCATTTTACTGAAAGAATATCTTCGCCGAAGGCCTTACTAATTTTCAGTTGGTTCCAGTAAATGAAGCTCGATGTTCTGAGTAAACACAATACAGTGCACCCTCGTTATAATGCCACCCTGGACATAATGCCATGTTTTTGCCAGAACGGATTTCCTGCCCCTATAATACCCTGGTTATAATGCCAAACTGGATATAATGCCATTTGCCAATGGTTTTTGGAACAAAATGTCATTTTCCCGTGATTATAATGCCAATTACACTGCCTGCATGTAGTATACATACCTTAATTGGTTAATTGGCATGACTGAAATTAATTGACCAAACTTATTAAAGCTTTATGTAGTCTTGTGATCCCAGATAGGATAATACATGTGACAATACACTGCTTGCCACCTACAACAAGAAGTCACCTGCAGCCCCAAGAAGCTGGGATTATCCAGCCACTGAAGGCTCATTACAGGCGACATCAGCTCAATCACCTTGCCGCTAAGTGTCCTACCTGGATATAATGCCAACCTGGATATAATGAAATATTTCCTCCTGGACAAACGGTGGCATTATAACCAGGGTATACTGTATATCACACACTCATGCACTTGCGTTGTTGCACTGAAAGGTTTCTGTTAAAAAGTCTACTAATTATTCATTTATAAAACAAGAAAGCTGAAACCATTCAAGGATTTATCATCAGATAATTGACTTTACAAAGATAAGGCATTGAGATAACAATGCCTTAATGGCCAACAGTGTACATTTACAGTATTTTTAGCTTCAGTTACAGTTTCCAATTATCGTTTGGGTCAAATGCTTCTCCAAATTTGAAATATATATTGAAAAGATATATTGACATCTTCAATGTGTCACATTTTCTCTTTATTTATAAATATTTAAACCTCTGGCTAAACATTAAACGGGCACTGGCCATGGTAACTGATGTAAAGGTATAAATTCTGCAAGTGAACCATGAAGGAATCAGAGGTACCGCAGTCACCATTTCCCCTGCATGGTGACCGTACCTTTCTTGCTGGTGGTCTCCAGCCACATTCTTACTTTTGTATCCTGATCTAATAATCAGATGTTTTATTATATAGTATTAAAACATTTTGTGATATATCATAAGTTGTTCACTGGTCTCGAGGGGGGCATGGGCTGATGTACCCTCGATGTTTGTTTATGTTCCCTGAGCTCGAACGATGGTGCATCAACCCATGGGCCCCGAGGCACCAGTGAACAACGTATTTTTCTTACCGAACACCTCAATGGTAAATTTGTACTGTTTGAAGCACGGGTCAAGAAAAACAATTTATCTCCCTTCCATCGATTTGCATTCGCAAAACATCGGTAATTTCCGCACATCATTCGTGATTCAATGATATTCGAGATAAAGAATTACCACTACGAAGTACCAGTGAGTTCGGCATTCCCAGTGGAGTAAATAAAAAATGTTACTCGCTTGTAAGCCGGGTACATTGAAAAAAATAGAAGAGCGTTCAGCCAATCAGAACACGATGTTTATGTGTGAAGCAAGATTATGCTAGCTGCTATACTGATGTTAACAGTACATTTTGGTCCAGTCACAGGATTGCTGACAAAAATACCAACGTGACTTTATTGTCCAATGTGTACAATGTGAGTTTAAGAGCGAGTGAGTGAGTTAGAATATATAGTCACATCGGCAGTATTTCAGCCATATCGTGACTATGAGTGTTGTATATCAAAAGTAAACTCATGCAATATAGATATCATTCAACAAAGGACAATAATATATCTAGAATATCACAGATGGAAACTTAAAACTAGCTTGTGATCAATAAAACAATATTTCTATAGAACAATTTAATATAAAAATGGGCTTTACATCGTCAACAACTGAAGGTAGATCACCATACTGGGAGTTTAAGACAACGTTAATTGGTTTCGTCACTGTAATGAAACACTAGTGTGTGTAATGGGCATACAATC